TATTAATAATAGAAGCTAAATTGCTTACCCTATCAGCAACAGCAAAGAATATTATATAGTGGAAGAGACTCTTTCAATCTATTAGGTTTAATCCAGAGCACCAAATCTCCATACTATACAATAACTATTAAACCATCAATCTACTTACTAGCAATGAGCCAAAGTTAAACATAAAGCTACAGCATGTTAACATACACTACCATTAGCTTTGGTAAGAGGTGCAAGCTGGCCATATCTTAATCTAATAGGTCAAAATAGCAAGCATGCCAGCTGATAGGCTTACTAAGATTCTCTCTCACCAAAAGCATTATAATTTCATGAGGCAGATTAGCCTCATCAACCTAAACAAGATAGACTAATTACCAGACATCTATCTCACCTTCCTAATTTGGAAATATCATTTGCTTTAACAGCTATGGCAGGCCCGTTACGAGCCTGGGGGGGTGTGTCAGCCAGCCTGGATACCAAATCTAGTAAAGGATTTGCGGAACTCTCTAGAATTCTGATTCGACCAATCAGATCACGAGAAATAGATCATATCACGATTCAACTCAGCGATTCCATTCCGATTAGCCGAGAATCATCTTTCCTGTCTATAAATTCTAGTATGAGATCGTAGATTAGAAGAATCAGACCTTCATCCCTTGATATTCCGTGTATATGCGTTTACCATACAAACATTATTACTTCGGATTGGCTGACAGTACCTTACGTTGGCTGGCATAGTACGTAGAACCTTGACAGAGACTGGAAGGGACTCGGGATAATTCCATTGACCAATCAGGTTCGCGGTAGACCTATTTGTCTTCTTACCTTATTTGGGGAAGCAACTTTCTGAGAGCACTGTGATGACCAACAATGGATAATTATAGGAACACATATGTAAGAAGAGTGGTAATAAACTCTGGAAGTTGCTGTAAGAAACTTGATATTATAAATGAACGAGCGTCCAATCCTAGCCGAAAAGATGAGCCAAATTGAGGCAGTTCAAAATAAGTTTTGTTCTCCTGCTGCTACTGGTAATTAGTATTGACTGAACCTGAAGTACTACTGGGTACCTAGAGGACAGCTGTATCTGAATACATCAATTGGATTAGACACTCGTGACGCTTTCAAAGAAAGAATGTTGGAGGGTATTCAAACTAAAGAGAAATCTCCTTCTCTTTGACAACCAGATGATACTTATCTGTATTGTTAGACATGATGACAGAATTGTCTGGGTACTGTCATGGCTGTCATCAAAGCATCCTGTAAGACACTTCTATCTCTATCACCTTCAAGGTCTTTCTTTGACTGCAGCCCCTACCTTACTCTTAACAACTGTACGCCTTGTTAGTTGTATATAGGAGTAACTATCCACTCTGGAGTATTTGTAGCAGCCTAGTCGCAGTACCTAGCACTTAATAGTGGCTTGGTACGGTATTTACTTTCATAGGCAGCTACCTTACCTAGTCAAATTCCGCATCCACTGCCACGGACCCCGCTTCTCGTTACTGGGCTTTGGGGTCTATCTACAGATTACTCCAGTCTCATCCAAGGAATACTTCTTCTTTTGCGCTCAATATCATCCTTACTATGGTCCTATCGTTGCCCTGCTTCTAGTTATTCCCCACCACTCATTATTAGAAGGCCTGTCGTGGTCTTATGGTATGAGAGTTCGTTTGGCGGCTTTTCGGATGATGCGCTTGATCTCTACACTTTACCCTGCGCGTTCCGTGTAGTCAGACTGATCTCCCTTCAACTTTATTTCCTCTTGCGTTCTATTTTTAATCCATGAGCCTTTGATTGGAAGGGAAGAAAAAATTAAGGAGCGCCTAAAGAATCGTGTTTCCCAGTCACATCTGATCCGTACTGTTTTCGGCAACGCCTGGAAAAGATTGAAGAAAAGGAAAACAAAGGAGAAGGGGCTATTATCTGGACGATGAATAGACCTCCGCAAGGCCGTGGTCAGCCACGTCTTGGTGCTACATGGTATCCAGGGGGCCAGGATGACTTTTACATGCCAGAAGTCATATCCCCCTCTCCTCAAAGGTGCGATTGCAAACTGCATATTTCAGGGGACTTCCCCCACCCGATTGGTGGTGATACGCGTTGCTGACTTGATGCACTCAATCTCAAAAGGGTCATGCCGGAAGTTCCAGAAAACATGCAGGACAATATAGCCCACCTCGAGCACGAAGCCCGGACCCCCCACCACGGCCAACATGCTCCAGTCCAGCATGATCGCTCACGTTTCCCTGAGCGGTCTTCATCCGTCGCGGTCGCGCAGGGACAGCCGCTACCTGGCGCGGGCTCCGACATGGGATCTTCTACCGTTTCTCCTTTCCCTGTCCTGAGAAATCCGCCGCCAAATGTACCGCCTACTGACGAGCAAAGAGAAGCCAGTTTGGAGAGAGCTCGAGTCGCTGTTTTGTCGTCCAACGACCCGGAGATGCAGTTGGCCTGGGCTCAGGACGCTCTCACCTACGTTGAGGCCGCGGTGCAAAACGAGGCTCGTCTCTCCTTGATTCAACCTCCCAGGCCGCAGACTCCTCCTGTTGAGCGTCAGTTGAAGCTCGACGCGATGAACATTGTGAACTTCTTGGCGGATCAATACCATCCCAAGGCCGATTTCATCCGAGGCATGTGGCTCGAGTTTGGCAAATTCGGGCATCGCGTGGACAAGAAGGCAGCATTTCGCGCCTATACGAGAGCTGCGGACAGAGGATATGCTCGGGCGGAGTATCGTATCGGAATGCAGTTTGAAAGCTCCGGAGAACCAGAGAAGGCTATCAAACACTACGAAAAGGGAGTCGCCCTTGCGGACTCCGCTTCTTACTATGTATGTTCAGGACACCTTTGCCGTCACAATGAGCTCCTTGCTAATGCCACGGCCGGCAGCGTTTGGGCATGATGATCCTCCTCGGTCAGCATGGTCAGCGGCAGGATTACCAGATGGGCTTGGATTATATCAGCCTTGCTGCACAATCTTGCGACGAGAATGCGCCCCAGGGTGCCTATGTACGTGACGCCCTTCCTCTTCACGGTCTCAACGCTTTTGGGGTCTGACATGACGTTCGACAGGTTTATGGTATGCTCTTGGCACGGGAGCTCCCGCAGGTTAATGTACCAGAGAGCTACCTTCCCCTGGATCTTAACGCTGCTCGTGTCAACATTGAAAAGGCAGCCTATCACGGATTTGCCAAAGCTCAGGTTAAGATGGGCGCCGCTTATGAACTTGGTCAACTCGGCTGCGACTTCAACCCTGCGCTATCCTTACATTATAACGCGCTGGCTGCGCGTCAAGGGGAGCCGGAAGCGGAGATGGCGATTAGCAAGTGGTTTCTCTGCGGTCATGAGGGCGTTTTCGAGAAGAACGACGAGTTGGCCTTCACATTTGCTCATCGTGCTGCGCTCAGTGGATTCCCGACAGCTGAATTTGCGCTAGGATACTTCTACGAGGTTGGTATTTACGTCGATGTCGACCTCAAGGAAGCCAGAAGCTGGTACGCCAAGGCTGCAGCGAATGGGAATAAAGACGCTACAAGTCGGATCGACAGCATCTCGCGGTCAAAGACACTGTCGAGGAAGGATCACGAGAATGTCGCGATCGCGCGCATCAAGTCGCGCTACGGGTCGCACCGGCGTGAGAGTTCTCTAGAATCAACGCAAGAGAACCTCGAAATGCCCGATCCATCCAGGATGAGTCTCGCAGGCACCGGACACTCCGCCGCGCCTTACCCCGACAGACCAGGATCCCGTTCCCGGCCTGTTTATCCACAGGGCTACTCAATGGCCGACCCGCGCCCCAGCTCGGCTTTTGGGATCAACCCCAATATCCGCGCGAATGCGCCCAACTACAACCGGGCCGCGTCTTACGGCCCAGGTCCTCAGAATTACCGTAACCCGGGGCCGGGGGCGCCGCCATCGGTTGGACCGATGAGTCCGACAGGTGTGCATAGCCCATCGGCAACACCCAAACTCGATATCGGTTACTCAGCGCCACTTGATCAGCCTCCCAGCGCTGATGCTCGAAGACGCCCTCAACGGCTCGATAGTGTACCCCCGGACCGGAAGCCTGCCCGAACTGCTGTCTCACCTCACTCCCAGGGTAGCTCGATGGGATCGCCACGGCCACAAGCCTCACCTTCTGCTGCGTCATTCCCTCTGTCGTCAAGAACGTCGACTCCCAAACCCTCCGGAAACCCCGCAAGCGCAGCAAGCCAAAAGCCTACAACACAACCTTCCAAACCCTCCGCAGGGGGTCTCCCCGGCAAGGGTCCGAAGACATTCGAAGAAATGGGAGTTCCTACCGCCCAGAAAGACAGTGATTGCGTAAGTCTTTGATTATTTCCCGGTTCAGTTGTATCGAATCTGCGAAGCTAACATCTGCCTTAGATCATCATGTGATACCCTTGCCGAATAATTCTGCACGACGATTCTCTATCTTGTGTCTTCACGGGAGAATACCATTTTAATACAGCCATTGTCCCAACCGGAGCGGATAAGGGCGGCGTAGGAGAGGCCCTGATGTAATGAATGGCCTTCACCGATTGTTTGTCTCAGCCTTTCTTTGCACTCCAATTCAGTACTTTCTTGATCTCTTTGCAAAAAAGCATTTTCCCCGTCGGGGGTTTTTCGGAATGATTTTACCTTATCTTCCCATGTTTTGTATTTGTGGCAGCCATCCATTCCATTCGAATAAACTGGAAGACCTTGTCATGGTTCAGCGTTCTTGTCTACTACTCATTTCTCTGAAATTTATTCTTTCCCGGTTGCTGCTGCTCTATTTCCCAAGGCCAATACTTGTTCTGTAACTCTGGAACAAGATTTATATGTATATCTAAGAGTTGATGGATAGCATTTTCCACGTGATGATGGTGGCCCTTGTGTGATTGCTGGTTTATACCCTGTACAGTGATGAATTTCGGTCTGAAAAACCACGTCCCGGTTCCCTCACTCTTCTCTTCCATAGTCTCCACCTTGTCTGGTAGTAGATTGACCACTTCACCTCTGTCGCCATGACACAGAAGAAGGCGAAAGCGGCCGACATGTCGGTTGTAGGTGAGCCGGCAAGATTTGCTTCGACCTCCGTATGCCTCCAGCTTACTCTGCATACCTAGCTGCCAATGACGAAACATCATTGATCCTGGATTACCTTCGTGAGTGCCATGTTGATTCGCAAGACACTTTTCTTAGTTGCACCGTCGACTCTGACTACTGACTGGTCTTCTAGGGAAACAAAAGTAGGTCTAAGTATTCTATGCTAGCAATTTAGTATCTTGAAATGCTGTCTAAACGTTCAAAACCAGTCGTCCTTATTCGGTTCGTCCTCTTGATGATGAGCGCCTGGTGGTAATGACTCTAACGTTTTGGCATCTCAGGCCATAGATGTTTCAACGAATTTGCATAACAAGGTCTCAAAAAGTCAGTACAGACGTTTCACTTCAGGCGGGTCGTCTGGGAAATTATGACTGATGTCGGTCCTATAGCGCACGCAGCAAAGGTCTTGCGAGACCTACACCGGAAGAAGGAGATTGAAGCCCGGATCTCAGGTGCTCAGCACATCCCTTGCGAGCAAAGGGCCTTGGAGACTAACTAAGCTCTACCTGGGATTTAGGAAAACACACAGTTTATCATGCCCTTCAAGACGCGTCCGACGATTTCAGGATGGAGACCATGGCGATGATGGATGAAAAGATCAAGCAGCTGGAAGAACAGTTAACAACACTCAAAACCAAGGAAAAGAAAGCGCGAACGGATTTAGCAACGCTCTCCACGAAGCCATTGCTCTGTGAGCTTCGACACGATGTCGGCCGACTTGAGCAAGAAACACAGGCGGTTTCATCTCGTCTCAAGAAAATCCAGAAAAGAGATTCAATCCAGGTGTCTCCGGAGGAGAGAGCAAAGTTGGGAAAGGAATGGAGACGCTGGAATAAGATCGCTAGCGTCCGTAAGACGATCTGTCGGGATCTATGGAGTAGATGCTTGGAGGTTGTACCGGACAATGTGAGTCGAGAAGAGCTTTGGGTAAGTACACCGACTCTTGATACTGCATTACGGCGTCGATCTGCAGCAGTTTCGGCTGACTTTGTCCATCAGGAATCTCTGGGCCTTGAAGGATCCTTTCTTCGTTGAAATACTACGTTTTATCCGATCAGAGGGAGGTAGAGACTGAGAGGTACCGTGATCCATGCGGATGAATAGTCTCATCGCGCAATGGCCGCTCCAATTGTCCTTTGAAGAATCGACTCCTGTGCACTGAATCTTACAGCCCCTTCGGATGCCTGTTATGCATAGTACCTATGTTAAATCCTGCGGCGTACGGCAGGACCGTTATTATGAGTGGATTGACATGCGGAGAGGGGACAGATCCTATTTTTATTGAGAGTCGAGTATGAGGAACGAAAATCGAGGCTTATGAAAAGTATCAGATGATATGGAAGTTGGGCTGTATCGAGTCACCGGAGAGGGAAAGGGTGAGATTATATGCAAACCAATACTTATCTGATGGTTCACGAGACTCGGTCAGGAGAAAGACCATCAAAGGTGATATGACGCCATTCAGGATGATCATTCGTTGATGGTACAAACTAGATACTATTACCACGATCATAGCTACTATCACTCGATATCATGTGCAGCGCAAATCCCTTCCGTCTTCTCTTCATGGGGGTGGGTTAACATATGAGGAATGAAGAGGATCAGCCATCTGATGAGCATCAAGAATATACCATGAATATCATATCATACACATATTAATGTTGAAATATCCTCGAATTGACCTATCTCATTGACAACAACAATATAATAACATAATATAATGATCCTGAATACCACCCAGTACAGAGACAGAGTATGTAAGTATTATTTATGATTCCCCACCTGTGGAAATCTCCCCGTGCCCAGTATCGATCTATACGATAACCACCACTGAGGTAGATACATAGATACAAGGTACTTAGTTACTGCCTACCTTACTGACTAAATCAACCCCTCCGGATTTTCCAACGGTTTTGACTTCCCTTCTGTTCTGCCACATCGCTGCCAAAGGGAGTGTCTCGCTCACTCACTCACTCACACTCTCTTTCTCATTCTCATAAAAGTTTACACATTGATTATCATATTTTTTGAGTCTTTCTTTCCGGTGCTCTCGTCCTCGAAATTCGCCCATCTCTCCTCCGTGAGATGAAAAATCATACTCCTCTTCCTGTCCCCTCCGAAGCCCCCTCTGTGCAGAACGGCCATTCCCGCAATCTCTCCGGCTTCGACATGGCTGCCCGCAGTCCTCCCAACCAGAGCAGTAAGTCACAGTCCGGGACTCTTCTTTGTCATCCCTTAATCATATAGTTACTGTTCCCTTTCTCCGATCGCACTTCCGGTTACTTGCAGGATTGTCGCTTTCCAGGACCGTTTTTGCTCCGCTCCTCACTTCTCTTTTCGGTGAAAGAAAGAGATAAACTAATTTCAGTTGCTATCTTCTCTAGATACCAAGCATGTGCCCTGCAAATTCTTTCGCCAGGGAGCTTGCCAGGCCGGTCCTGCTTGTCCTTTCCTACACTCCACAGACGCCGCGATTGACTATGCGCCTTGCAAATATTTCTCCAAGGTACGACCTGTAACCGGATCCATCTTGTCCCCCCTCTCGTAGCGGCGGATGCAAGCAATTTCCTTCCTTCCTCATCCTCGATTTTGAGCTCATGCAGTTGACTGGTTTGTTCTCCGCACAATTAGGGCAATTGCAAGTTCGGAGCCAAGTGCGCGCTGGCGCATATCCTTCCTGATGGTCGGCGGGTGAATCGGCCAAGTCCTGGTATGGGAACGGGTGGAGGCCATCTCAATCTTGGAGGACGTGTCAACCCTCAAGCATATGTCAATCAAGATTCGGCCTTGACGAACTCGGTCCTCTCCCAACAGCGCTTGGGCAGTCATGATCCTCGTTACGCTTCGCAATTGCCGCCTCAAGAGGAGTTCGGTGCTCTACAACAGCAGCAGCAGCCACCCCCACCGCCGTTCGACGCCATTCCTACCATCGATGCAGGTTTAGCCTCGGATGCGGGTTCGAAGTACGGGTCGCCAGCGGACGACACGCGTTTCCCTATGTCTCCGAATCACCGTCACCTAACCGCTCTTGACGCACAGCTCCCCGCGTCGTTTGACAGTCAAGGCATTTCGCACGCCGCTCGTTATGGCCCCGTGGCCGCGTCCGTGCCATCGAAGTTCGGGTTGGATCTGGCCTCTCCTCCTGCGCAGAGAATGGGTGGTCCGTCAGATGTACTTCGTAATCTCCGTGACACAGCGTATGGGTCCGACTTCAGGAAACCGTCGTCCTTCATGGGGTCATCCCCTCCAGGCATTCCCGAAGATGGGGTAGGACCGAGATTTTTACACTCTGCTAGGCCAGTGAAGTCGCGCATGCTTTCGGCCAGTGTTCCCCGACCCACAGCATTGGATGACTGGGACGACAGCAACTTCCCCATGGAGGAGGATTATCTGCCTATCAATTTGCACGATGATGTCCTCACCCCTCAGGAGAAACTCCGACGCCTGTCGCGCACTGATCATGATCTCAGTTCCAGCCACCGCGATTTAAGCGGACTCGGTATGACCAGCACCAGCTTCTCCAAGATCGGCTCTCCGCTCGCATCCAGTCCGTCACGGTTTGGTGCCTTATTTGCCAAGCAACGCCAGCAGAAGAAGGATGAAGACTCCCATGGTACATCCTTTTCGCACATCGGCTCGCCTCTTCGCGAGTCCTCCCTCAATCTAGGTACCAGTCCCAGCTTGGGCCCCATCGGAAGCCGACAGATCTCCGGCGATGTCTCTCCATATGTGGCCAGCCCTGGCAGGCAGTCATCGACATCCATGATCTCTCAGCAGCTGAGTAGCATGTCTCTTTACCCTGCTCCGGCCCGTCACTCCTCCGCAGTAGGCTCCAATGGCCGCCTGGACCGTACAATCTCGTCGCCTGTCAGCACAAGCAAGATCGACGAGGAGCAGAGTGATTTAGTCTTTTCCATGGAGGAAGAAGACAGCGCCAAACGGAACAGTACTTCTTGGGCCACCAATAAGGCCGAATCCAACGATGGGGCATCGACCCCCACAAGCAACTCAGGTTTCCAGGCATGATGTTGTTGAAAATGATTATCTGGAACCAAATTTGCACATGCATCCATGACAACATTAAAGCGCGGAGTTTACGAGCAAAAGGAACAATTGGGAGATTAAAAAGCAAAAAAGTTTCCACCACCAGTTGAAATTGTGTTCATACCTCGACATTCAAAGGAAAATAACGGTCTTGTGGATGCCCCTGGATTTTACCCTACTTGCGTTGCCTTTTCGTCGTTTCGTCATCGTGTTTCGCATTTTGATGGGAATTTTGCATAGAACGGTCAAGCGAACTATAGTGGATTTGACTCTTCCTGTTTCACAACGTCGGTCACTTGGTCTAGGACCAAATCAGGCATTTTAATTCAGGGTGTTTTGTAACCCGGTTGGGGGAAGTGCCGAGACTGCTGCCATTCTTAGAATTCCTCCTTTCATTTCTCTTTTCTCTTGTCGTTTCATTTGGGTTCACGTCCTATCTCTATCGGCCATTCCGAAGGTCTGCGGAGGAAGGAAAGGGCAATTTGACTCTGGCCCAACCCCATCGGGTCGACAGTTGATCGACCTCCATCATCCAGGAGGTTGTCATGTGTACATTCTTGGTCTGCATCGTTCAGTCTTGACTCAACCACAAGTCCACAACTTCCTTGTTCTGCCTCCAATCTCTTCTCCTTGGGTCAATCTCACGAGGCAATGACGTGTCCTAGCGCCCCTGTTTCTTACCGCCTCCTTTGTCTATCCCATATTTCCGATGTTGGGATTGAGCTGCCCATGGTCCCACTCGATATCTTGCCTGTTCTCCAGTCAGCGCATGGTGCGCCTGTGTACGGAGAGATCGGGTGGTTTGTATTTCAGGCAGCATCTCCAAGCTTTCCCGCGAGAACAATTGCTTGGGTGCGCGGGCTCAAGTGATTGGTGTACATATCCGACTCGAACAGAAGACCCTCGGGCATCCATAAAGCGCATGCCTAGTCCTACGTCTGGTCCCACAGGCTGGTGGAGGGATTACTTGGACTATCAGCTTTCATTGCAGTATCTTAATGCTACTAGTATACACAAATAGTGTTGTAATTCTCGCTCTGCCCATCCCAGACTCCTGAACATTACGCGCCCTCCCTTTTCCCCAGTATCGATTTTGCCTTTCAAAGTAAAAATGTGATAACGCCGAAGCTCAAACAAAACACAGTCGGCCTTGTTATTCTCATGGAAAGGTCTTGAGAGGCACCAATGACACGCGACCGAGAACGTAATTCCACCCCTGGCACTAGATCCTGGGGTCAATATCGTCCATATACATAGCACTGCCTTTAAGGCTGACAGCGGTGGCTTTGCTGGAATAAGCCTGGATCTGCGCCGTCTTCTCTCGAGTGATGCGACCAGCCATGATCCTGCGTGCGCGAGCCTCGGCATCTGCTTGCTTGGCTGTCTCTGCTCGGTTCGAGTATAGATGTTCGTAGATCTTTTCCGTGCCAACCATGACATGGCTCGTCATAATCTCAACGGCTTTGGCGGTCAACGCCTCCACACGGACTGCGAGATCTGTCTCTTCATCGGCACGTCGGCGTTTGACTCGCTCCTCTCGCTCCTCTCGCTCGACTATCTCGAGATCTTCTTTCCGTTTCCGCTGCTCAACAAGTTTCCGACGTTCTTCCTTAGCAGCTAAATATTTTAGGGAATGACCTAGTTTTTGTTGAAGTGATGGAACGATATCGAGTGGCGGAGCAGAGAAGAAAAGCACATGGCCGGAGTCGTCACAATGGAACTGTTCACGAATATCCTCCGGGATTGCTGCATTTGCCGCCTCACTGAGGCGGAAGACCTCAATTGGACGAGGCGCGTTAGGATTGTATACCGATGCTGGCGGTACGTGCACACGACCTGCCTGATATGGCGTATATGGAGATGGCTGAGCCGCCACATACGGGTGCGGTACCGGCGAAGGTTGGTAAGCAGGGGAGTGAGGAGTTTGCGGTACAAACGCGCTAGGGCGCCTCTGCAGAGCCGGTTGATAAACCTGGACTGGCGGTACTTGAGGCTGTTGGTAGGCAACTGGAGGCACAGGAACAGGAGAGCCCTGGGTAGGAGGAATTGGGGCAGCGGGAGAGCGTGTAGGGACGGGGACGGCCCCAACTGCGGGAGCCGTGCCGGGACTACCGACGCTTGGTCGCGTAGATGGTTGGGTAATCGATGGCAGACGAGGAGGAACAGTTGACAATACTGGCTGGGGTAATGACGGCGGCGGAGAAGGAGTCGGCTCAGGTGGCGGAGATTCCTGTCAAAAAAATTTCCAGTCAGTATCCCACAATTCAAAGGGGTTTACGGACGAAACTCCCCTACCGACTAGGAGTTAAGATACTCACATTTTCGTCGCGTGGACGTCGATGTACCGCTCCAACAATGGGCGGCGCATTATCGGCGCCCCAGGTTGGTTTGGGCAGATCGTCAGTTTCCTTTGCATCACTCTTCAGCAAGTGCTTGATCGGACTCGGTATCTTCTTGATCCTCCGAGGGACATCAAAGAGGTCCATCTCGTAATCTTTTTCTCGCACTTCATCGGGAAGGCAACTCGCCCATGTTTTAATCTTGTTGAGCTTGTGCTTCTCCTCGTTATAGCGTGCCTCACAGATGTATACTTCCTTGTCAGGAGGAAGGCCTCTAGGGCGCCCGCGGTTGTACCGAGTAAAGAACATGACGAAACAGCGGTCGACAACCTCTTCGATCCGATGATCACGGTACTGGCCAGTCTTGACCACCTCGTTGGGATAGAAATGTTTCTCAAAGTGATGAACTGTCTGCTCAGGACGGTAGTACCAGCAAGCATTGACCCACTTTTCACCTTCAGAATCCTGCCATGTGCGGTAGATCTGTGCGACGATCGGCTTGGTCACATCGTTCGGATTCTGTATATGAACCCAGTCACCCACTTTCCAGAGCTCACCTTTGTACAGAATGCCATCAGGCAATGGGAGACGACCATCCTCCATCAGATACTCGCTGTCAGGTTTCCTCTTCTCAATCTCAGCAAGCCTCCTCGCCTCAACTTGCAAATCAACAGCGTCCTTGTATATCTGACTGTCCGGCTGGTTGTAGGCTTTGGCATTGTTGAACATCAGATCCATATCGCGCATGAAATGGTCAACCGAGTTGTACTTCTTGCGCTTCGACTTCCGCTTGATAATGTCAATCGCAATCGGCTCCTTGATTTCAACATAATAGTCCGGATATGTAGCTTTGTCTGGCAAGCGTTCAAAGTGTCGCACTTTGAGCATGCCAAGAGGCCCTTTGAACTTCCGGATCCCCTTCAAAACTGCCTTGATCCTGGCCTCCATAGGGGTATCGACACGCGGGGGCCGGCCCCGCTTCTTTCTGAGCTCTGGGTCGGCTGATTTATGCCCGTCGTCCTTCCCTGCGTCCCGTTTCCAACCAGGGCGCGGACCGCGCTTCTTCTTGCGACGACCATCATCATCGGAATCATCCTCGTCGTCCTCCTCATCCTCGTCCTCGTCATCCTCATCCTCCTCCTCGGGAAGAGGATCCGCCTCTGGAATCTCTCCCAAATCGGGAAGTTCGGCTTCTTCAGCGGTGATAATCCCTTGTTTAACCAGTTTTTCAAATTCTGCTATGAAAACGTCCTAATTTGGAGAACAAGGATCAGCACCGTGGTATTCGGCGACGGATATGGAGTTAAAAACTTTACGAACGTATTACGAACCTTTATGACAAGCGCATCCTCATACGCCTGTGAATTTGGCCGATTATACGTCTGCGCATTGTGAGGGATCTAAAGCGAAGACAACACCGTGAGTAAAAGCCATAATCAGTGGTCCCTCAATGGCACCAACGTTGCGACACTTACCAGGGCGCAGTCTCGCACGAACTCGGCGACGTTCTTGTATTCGCGCTTGTTTATCTTCTGTTTCAAGATACTAAGGGCCATGGGCTCTTTGATGATCTCATAATAATCAGGAACATTGCGCTTGTTCACGCTGCGCTGAAACAGCCTCGATGGGTCATGGCCACTGTAACGGGAAGAAAGTCAGCTAAATCTAAATGGCGCGGACACAGCTCGACCTGTTGAGTCGTCCAGGTTGGGGCTTTTCTTTTTTCTGCTGCGTTGTTCTGCTTGAAAGTCGCAAGCAAAGAATATGCGGACTTACTCCTCTTCTCTGAATTCATAGATAGCCAGAACAACGTCCATCATCGACCTCCATTGCTCGTCGGTGACGCCGCCCGTCGCAGAACTATCGCCCTTGCTATCATCCTCAATCGATTTGACCGGCTCCTCAGGAGCGGGTTGGCTTTGCGACGGCTCCGACGCCTTTTCCATGCTGTTGACAACACCCTACCACTGAGAGTGACACCCACAGTCAGAAAGCGGGTGCAGAAAGACTCAAGATAACCGACGACAGTCCTTCAGGGAGATGCAGATTGCTCAATCTGGCGCGCAAAAAAAGAGGCGAGATGAGGAGAGAGGTTCGCGCATAATTACGCTGACTCAGCGAGTTCCTGTCACGGTTTGGCCGGAACGATACCATACGGTAACTATCCGAACGTTACCGTCAAATATATACCTTATATTTCCCTACCTATTTCATACAGGGACTGGACATTGAATTGGTAATATTATGCACATCAAGCGAAGGTATGTATTCCAAGTCTCCAGCGGACCTTACCTACTTGTTGATTTCCAATGTTTCACAACCATCAAGCCTTGTCAAGCCCAATCTTCTCTTCTACTCCATATCAGCTTCCGCACGAGAGAAAGATCGACCGTCAGTACGGATTAGCGTAAGAACGGGCCAGTGCGGGGATAGCTTGAAGACGCATGTGTACGGTACCTATCTCCTGTCGTCACTGTTTTTTGAGCCTTTCATGCACAGCGTTTATGTCTATGAGCTCGGACATATTCCTTTTTCTTTGGTCTAGCCATGTTTGAGGACTTTGTCAGCCAACGCAATGGCCGGGATTTTATGCCCGAAATATCTCAGCAACTCGAAAGTACAATTCGTGCCATTTCACAGTACCTACTCCAAAGTCTCCGTGTCCTAAGGGCAATGCGCCGCCAGCCCCACATCCAACTGGTTGCTGCTCGTCAATCGTCATTCCATCTCATCCATCCTTCCAGTGGCTCTGTTTCGTCCCGGCGACTAGATACTCCCGTGTGCCTGATACTCTGGAGTTTTCTCCGATCTGTTGTCTGGATTCTGAAGGCTAGGCTTTCTGTCCTAGACGTATCTACAAGATAGTTGACGTTCCCCATCGGTCTTGTCCCAATCTTTCGGCGCTCTTATCTACTTAGCTAGTGGGAGATGAGGATCCGAGTCCGTGGACCTGCTGGACAGTCCGCCGTCACTCTTGATGACACTGCAACTGTCAATGATCTTCGCGCTCACATTGTCGAGAAAACTGGGTTGACAGCATATGATGTGAAGTATGGATATCCCGACCTCAAACCTCTGGTATTAGATGGGTACCCTTCGGAACAGAAAATCAGAGACCTCGGGATTAGTCTAAATGGCGAACAACTGCTCGTCACCAGGAAGGAGGATTCTGCACCGACTACTCTCCAACAAGCACCAAGCGCCGGGGAAAGCGAAAGACAATTATCTACGGCGCAGGATGATGATAGGAAACTGTCTCTCTCGCGCAAGCCGCATGAGGGTGTGTCGGACGATCCTCCCGAGATTGCTTCGCCTGAACATTCGGGCACCTTTGTGCTGCGCATCATGCCTGACGATAATTCCTGTCTGTTTCGCGCGGTAGGGAGTGCAATTATGGGAGGAATGGACACTATGACCGAGCTTCGGTCGATTGTCGCCCAGACTATTCAAGCGAACCCGGACGTCTACTCGGAGGCAGTGCTAGAGAAAAAGCCAGACGACTATTGTCGTTGGATCCAGCAGGAGAATTCATGGGGCGGAGCAATTGAGCTCAGCATTTTGAGCAAACATTTCGATATCGAGATCTGCTCAATCGACGTGCAAACGCTGCGGGTGGATCGGTTCAATGAAGGTTCGCCCACACGGTGTGTCCTGGTGTATTCTGGGATTCACTATGATACCATTGCTTTGTCACCGTCGGATCCACCATATACTCACGCTTATGCCCCTCCGGAGTTTGATACCAAGGTCTTTGATGCAGCCGATCCGGTAGTTCTGGAGAAAGCGCTGGCTTTATGCGAGATTCTCCAGAGCAAACATTACTATACAGATACTGCAGGCTTTCGCATTCGCTGCAATACTTGCGGCGGCATTTTCATCGGCGAAAAAGGAGCCACCGCGCATGCGACTCAGACAGGACATTATGATTTCGGCGAAGCAAGCTGAAAAAGCCGCAATGGATACAGTTGGCTGCGTGTATCTCAGCATTTGGATACGTTATTCGATAAGGTATATCTTTATTTGGGGCGGGAAGTTCTCAAACTATATGCAGAAATCTGAAAAGCCGAGATTCGAGAACGTTGTAGTACAACACATAGCGCGTTTATATATAGCGAGCGGACTTATTGAGTTGACAGAAGACAAAATTCCGTTCTTTGTGGGATATCATAATCATACATAATTTCCAAACCTTCTACACCATCGCTACTTCATCCGCCTCGTCATCCTCTCTGTCGCCTTCTTCGTCCTCTCCAGTATCTGCGCTGTCCTCAGGATGTCCACCCCACTCCACGTCGTGCTCTATAGGGTTGGTGAAGAACTCGTGCAGCAAAGCTTCCTTGGCACTCAGTCGTTTGTAGGGGTCCAGCTCCATGAGACCAGCCAGGAGTCGAGTGGCTTGCCTCTCGCTCTCGGTCAATTCTTCCACACAACTGGCCCATTTCACCAGTTTCTCCCAGCCATAGCCCTTTTCGCCAATGGTAGGAATGTTTGTTTCGAAAATCTGACCATGCATGGCGGCTGCAGTCTTCATCCGACGGGTGCCAAAGATACTTGCCATTTCGATCATGGCATCAACATCGTCGGCGGAGTTGAAAAAAGGGAATCGACGTCCGAGCAAGGTTAACAGAATCACGCCGGCAGACCACATGTCTATCTTGGTTGTTTGAGATGTACATTTGAAAAGGACCTCCGGCGCCCGGAAGCCGCGAGTCCCCGCTCGATTAGCACGTCTTGCCGGCCGTGAGTCGTTCTTAGGGTAGCCAGCCGACAGCGTGGACGTAGAGCAATGAGTATAGTAGTAGCTCTGCAGCAACCGACTGCGGCGTACAAAGTTCGGATTGGCGCAAAGACAGGTGCCGGTATATTCAGACCCCTCACGCTGGAAAAGACGAATGAGAAATTCGGTAGTGAGAACCTTTGAAAGTGGACACTTACTTCCGCCAGACCAAAGTCTACAAGGACTCCTTCGCGAAGCTCAGGGTTGTACAAGAAGTTACTGTCAAGGGGCTTAGAGAACGCGTGACGCAACGGGCCGACACACAGCAATGCACTTACGTTGGCTTGATGTCTCGATGAAGAATATTGTGCTTATGGACGGAGTTTAGCGCAGTGAAAAGGGATCTGAAATAATGTCGCATATCGGCAACCATAAATGTGCGATATTGAATGCGAAAGTCAGTATGGGGAAAGAAAGGCAAGACAGCCACAACCTGGTCCTGGTGCCTGAAAGCTGTGATCAAAGGGCACACGGACCGGCAGCCCCGAAGGTCATGGAGCAGCTCCAGCTCATTTTGGATTCTCAACGGACTGCTGGTAACGTAGATCTTCTTCAGTGCAACGTATCGCGGTTTTCTCCGTTTGGTGACCGACTCCTCCACTCGCCGTCTCTTTGTTGGGGGACTTGACCAGTTACTGCTTTGGTTTTCCTGGAAATTGTCCCAATCGTTCTTGTAATGGTCGTACAAAAGATCCTCGGCTTTGTAGACTGTTGAAAATGTTCCTATGGTAACCAAAGTCCAACGCTCAGCCATACATTCACCAAGTGGGAAGGGTCAATTTCGAGCACAAGACAGAAGGGATGTCGGTACCTTCACCGATTCTGTTCACCAGACGAAACCGATCAGAGATCCCCGGGAATGTATCCTCAAGTTTCTTCATGTCTTCCCGGACCGAGTCGTCCACTTCTTCTTCCTCCTCATCCTCAGCTCCATGGTCGCTCTCTCCGCGACGTGAGTCTGCCGAGGCGTCACTGTCTGAGGCAGTACCATCGTCTAGCACAGCCATGTGCCCTTGTGTGCGATGGTCCGTAGCCCTAGCATTTTGCAGTCCAAAGACACCAGTAATTGGGGCGTGCATTGTGGACATGTCACTAATCAGAGAGATGTTACCACCACTATGGCCGAAGCTAAGTGAGGGGTTCCTCAAAGATCTTGCATGTACCAACGCAATCGACTAGATCCGGGCCCCAGGCCACAGGGTTGGCAATGCGTTCGGATATGAATGGATTATGCAGGGCAGCGCGCGTCGAGGATCTCTCAAAACATCAATTTCGCAGTTGATGACACGGTAGTCGCGTATATGATTGTGTATGATCCATCAAAACGGTTGGTTCTAAAGATAGTGAAAGCAGCATGCAAAATGTCCCTATCAGGTATGGTAATGTTTGTTTATTTCTGTTTAGGATACATAATTAGTTACAGGTAATATAACCAAGGTACCTAGGTAGGTACCTAGGTATCTTAGACACCTTTAAGTTGGTTCTCTTATCATACACAGTACCTCTCTACAGTTCAATACATTGCATGACCCTCTTCATTTCACTGACATTCTGTTAAGCCCGTACAACCTAGGTATGAGTTTCAGTCACAACCTAAGCTGATTGCGTAGATTCCATACAGTATTATAATGTAACATACAGAATTTCACCCACCCCCGTTCAGGATAAGATATATCGTAGCGCCACGGCAGAATGATCTAAAAAGGCAAAACACAAACAAAACCTAAGGCACGCTTGCATCGCCAAACATTCTCCTCCTTTCCCGCTGCCGACTCTTTCACCCAAACTCATCCCCCTCTTTACCCCCACTCTGAAGTGTGAAAGTCCCATTCCGTCACTCAACCTCTCAAGTGTCCTTCGAGGACATCCTCGCAGTCGGCTCAGGATGGAGGACAGGATTCAGTTCGATATCAACGAGTCACTCAAATATTACTTGAGTGATCCGGCCTCTGTTCCCACAAACGATGCCGACCCGGAACTGCTGGATTGCGAAAGCGACCTCGAGCATTTAACGCCAGTATTGATCGATAATGTGCTCAATCCCATCGTAGATGCTGTGGCTGAGAACCCCGAAGCGTTGGCGAGACAGTCATTTTTTGACTCACTGCAATTCCTTCTAAAGTGCGCGATGGCCCCTTCTCCGTTCTCCGAATTTTCTGGCCCTGGTGGAACCCATTCTGAACTTCTCAATCTCTGCAGATATTCGTCTTTCCTCCCTACGAAGTCCCTCAGCAAACTCCTCGACCTAGTAGTGTCCGGGCTGTCTGTCGAAGCAGATATTATCCATGGAGATCTCGAAGCCGACGAGCAGGATGCTATCCAGCACCATAAACAGCTATTGGAGATGTACGGCTTCTTGCTTCAATGGGCTCTCTCTGCTGTGGAAGTCAAAGCGGCAGAAAAGCCCGCGGAGGCTGCGCCTGCTCGGAGAGGTGTAGGTAAATCTGGAAGGTCGAAGGCCAACAACAAGGATGGTACATGGGACTGGACAGCACAGATTCAGATATCCATGGAGACGATGTGCAAAGTGATGAAACTTAAATTAAGCAGGATTTTCATGACCACATCGGACCGCGACACTTTTGTCAACTTGTTCACCCGTGCGATTTACCTCATCTTGGAGAGCGAGCAACGGGTCAAGAGTCTAACCATTCGAATGCATGCTTTCAAAGTTCTTTGCATTGCTGTGAAACATCATGGTCATGCCTTTGGTAGGGTCCAAGAACATAATGAGCAGGCATGCCTGGGCTAACATGCTGTGAAGGAGCGCAGACATCCATCGTACAAAGCCTGACCTATTTTGAGCATCTGTCAGAGCCTATGGCTGAATTTTTACATATTCTTGCGGAGCAATATGACTATCCACAACTATCGGACGAGATATTGAAGTACTTAGATGTCTCACGCATCACCACTAGACTATGGCTAATATCGATAACAGGGAACTCGGAAACAAAGAATTCAACTCGAACGATACACGAGGGCCGAAATCAGTTTCGGCCTTTATCGTGAAACTCTCAGAGCTGGCACCGCGGCTGATCATCAAGCAGATGACTCTATTGGCCAAACAATTGGACAGCGAAGTAATTTCCCTAAGGCAATCTTCTTGGTTGAATATGAAGATGGGGCTAATCATTTCTACAGTCATACACTCTTCGTTGCGCTGTTGTTGAGGTTTGCGGAAATCTAATTGCGGACCTTAGCAGACAAGAAGAACGCAGCGAGAACTACAAAACTCAAATCAATGCGTTCTTTGATGTCCTAGAAGAGAGATTTCTCGACGTCAATCCCTACTGCCGTTGCCGAACCATCCAGGTATATATGAGGATCTGTGACCTCGAACAGAAGTTCCCCAAAAGACGACAGGCGGTGGCGGAGCTGGCGGCAAGGAGCTTGGAAGATAAAAGCAGCAATGTGCGTCGCAACGCGATCAAATTACTTGCGAAACTGGTCTCTACACACCCATTCAGTGTAATGCACGGCGGACAGCTTTCCTACAAAGAGTGGGCAGCTCGTCTCGACAACGTCGATGCGGAACTTAATGCACTACGGCCGCCTGAGACACCCGGCTTCGATGGTGGTGAGGCTTCACATGTCGACAGTGAGCTGTTAGACGACGCGACCCAGATACCTGAAGATTCCCCATCGAAGGCACCACGCATGACCGAAGCGGAAAAGGCTGCGGCCATCCAAAAGGCCGCAGAACAGGCAGCGACATCCGAACTACTGGCACGACTGCAGCTGACCAGGAAATACTACAACGAAGCCATCCGTTTCATTGAGGTGCTTCACTCCGCCTCGGCAGTGGTCTCCCAGCTCCTGTCATCTCGAAATAAGAGCGAAGTCATTGAAGCCATGGATTTTTTTGTGGTGCTTGATGCATATAAGGTTGAGACTGCACGCAGTGGCATCAGGCGGATGCTGCGACTCATCTGGACCAAAGGCAACAGCGATGAAGGCAAAGGAGTTCAGACCCATCTGATTGACTGCTACAAGGGTCTGTTCTTTGATGCGCCGGACTCGTTCGGCCCCAATGATGCCGCAAACTACGTTGCCCGGAACATAATCAGTTTGACTTTTGGCTCAACACCTGCCGAGTTGACATGCCTCGAACAATTGCTCAGTACCATGATGAAAGCCGGTCACATCTCGGATGCGGTTATTGCGA